GAAAAACGTGTCCTGACCATCGGATTTTACTTTCTCGTGTGGTAGCAATGATATCCCGTATGCTTCTTATCTGAAATTAGAGTCTGGTTGCTTATATGGTTACAAGTCCAAGCATACTTGGTTCTGCTACAGATCAAGAAGTATGAGCAAAATTCAAGCGGAAATCAAGTGAAAGTTGAAATGTGGGGAAGAAAAAGCTGTTATAGGGGAAGCGGTCATTTAACTCTAGAAATCTGGGAATTCTTACATTTTAAAATTCTTACGTTTAAAGAAATGTTTTTACATTTTTAAAATTTTTAAATTTTTCTTTTCTCTGCAGGACAGACTGCAATCGGATATCGAAAATGATTTGATGTACCGAGATGAGGAGAGATTAGCGATGCGTTTGAATGAGCTGGAAAATGCATACAGACAAACGAAATTTGCATCGAATCGTGCCGAAAGAGTGCTGGTAAAAGAAATTGATAAGCTGAAACGAAATCAAACAAAGCTAGCGCAAGTTTCTTCACTGTATTTTTCACTGAATAAAATGAGTTTGGTAGGAAAAAAGCTGATTTGCCTAGGAACAGTTTCATCTGGACCAGATATATCACGGCATCTCTTTGGCAGATTCTGATTCCTAAACTAGCTATGAAAGCTGCTATACTAAAAATTATGTGTCTGTTTGTATGTTACATGAGTGTATATGTATGTATGCGGACGATATGAAGGATTCGGTAAATCCAGAAATAATGAAAAGTTCTCAGGATATGATCTGAAGAACTGGCTCCGTTTGCGAGTTTTTATTTCAAATTCTTTATTAACGAAAGGCTTATTGTGTCCTTATGTCTGATTTTTGTTTGCCTAACATTTATTTCGCAAAATTTCTTTTCTTTTTGCAGAAAATATAATATTGTGAAGGAAGAAAAGCAAGCAATACAGTTGCAGCTTCGTGGAATGAATGAAAAGCGCAGCGTATGTCTTCTTTTCATCTATAACTTACAAAATTAAAATTAATGCGAACCTTTATTTATCTTGTACCAGGAATATTAAAAATTGTCCAAATAATCAGTGTGGAAGTACCCTTTTGGTGATATTACTGGCATATTTTCAAACATTCGACACAGCTATTCCACACCCCCTGATCCTTAGCTGAATACCTGCAATTAGCACCCATCGCCTGTTCGATTTATGTGTGCCATCTTTTTCGCTTATGAAAGATTAGGAGACAGAGGAAAACATTAAAATGCATAAATTTTGTTTGGTAATCTAACCAATTTCGACGAAAAAACGATTGCAGAATGTGCTGAAATCAATTCGCGAAATAACCAATCAGCTACAGGAGACCGACGATGAACTGAGGTACCAAAGGCGTAATTTTCAGCAGCTCAAAGAACGCCTGCGCGATCTGTATCAGATGAAAAAAGAGCTCGTTGAGAGTTACAATGAGGAAAGAAAGGAGTACAAAGACTGGTGTACCGCGAAACGCAATTCCGGCTCTTTTTCGCTGCACCCTGTGGATTATGGCTATCCAGCCACATATCCGTCAGCACATCGCAGTCAAGCTTATGGTAAGATTTTTTATCGCTTTACAAAAAAAATCAGATAATGTTCCGTCTCTTGCTCTTTTAACGAGTACCGCAGCCTTGTAAAATAAAAGTATTACTTTATTTTCAGTGTTACTTTCTGATTTTCTACAATGAGAAAAATCGATGCTTACTTCATGCTAAAACTTGAAATTCGGTCCTACGGGACAGCCAATTCCTCTACAATTTGTTCATTCGTTTCGATGGTAAATTGGTACTGGCACATACCGGGCAGTTGAAATCGTCAGCCTGTTTCTGTGCAAGCAACCCCCAGAAGAGGGAACCTTTCATAGTTTTAACGCATTGATTGAAAACCGCTAGGCAGTGGATTCTGCTTTTATCATGGATTCTCAAAGAGAACAACGAAGAGTGAGAGAAAAAATGGTTTTAGATGTTAGAAGATTTTATTCCTTGGTCATCATAATGCAATGAAATATTATGGAAGTTTTTCTAAACATAGGCAGATTTTCTTCAGGGACTTAATTGCCCCGGTTTAAAGTGTATTCAACATAATGGGTTCAAAAATTCCTAACTTTTGATAGTGTTATTTCTCCATTTCCAAAATTGCTTTGACCAGTGCTGCATCGCTTGGTGGTAGTCAGCCTTTTGGCGATCGTGACGCTTGTTTCATCTCCTGAAACAGCTCAATGATTTTATATATTTACCAAGATTAAATTTTCAATAATTAAGACACCTATTTGATCGACGAGGAAACACTGGAACCATTCTATGAGCAAAAAATGTCATGTAAACGTTTAATCGAATATCTCAACTCGCTGCAATCACAGATGACAAGTACCACAGATTGTGTAGTACCTGCAACTTGTACAGCTTCAGAAAAGCGGAAAGCATCAGCTGATGAAAGCGATGGTTTGTTTTTTTTTTTGTTTTTCTTATCCTGAAAATACTGAATTTAAAAAAAAAAAAAGACTAGCCCCATCACAAAGCATCCATGGTTTCCTAAACAGTTCTAGGTGGCTAGTTGGATCTTCGAATTAGACGTTAATTTTCATGTTCAACACGGATGGATTTCAACATCCTGAACAGATTTTAGGCTTGACCGTGACTTCTTGAAAGTTCTGTCTGCATTTTTCTTTGCCTGCTTTGGTTCTGCCTTAGCAACTTACATGTAAGTAATTGAATGCTAGATGTTGGCATTTTTTTTGGATTTTGTTTACAGGAAAATTTATCCTCGTTTTTAGAGGATGTAGTTTTTGGTGGAGAATCGAAAGAATTCGAGATTTCCCATTTTTTTTTTCTTTTTTTTCTCTCTCTTTGCTAGATAACCCTGAGTATTTTTTTCGTTAGATTTTCCTGTAGAAAGTGGTCGATGACAAATTCGTGTTTAGTTCCCTCCAATGGCAATTTGTTGTGCTGTTAATTTTTTACTTCTAGATTCTGCTGAGGAATATCCAGAATCATTTGTGACTCTCCGGGCATCACTGTCACTGCCAGCTCGTGCCGCTGATAACGATGAGAACACAGACAAGGAAACATCTTTTGTTAATGTTCTGAAGAAAAAAGTCAGCAAAAAATCGACCAAAAAACCATGCCAGGT